ACACTTGATGTATGGAATTGTATGATAATGATTTTTGTTGTATGGAATTGTATGATAAGGTTGTATGAATTGTAGGATTTTTCGGTGTATGGAGGTCAACCCGTGAAGTTGTGATGATTAATGAAACTGGTCATTCTATTAAAATAGTCATCTCTTCTATCAAGCTCAGATATGAAATGTTTAAAAAAAGACCAGTTTCATCAATCATCAGAACGTTTTTCGACCCGAAAACTATTTGGGTTTTGCAAAAATCATTCAAATGCTCATTCAATTGTTCGAATAACACAATTTCTACGCAAAGCGATAGAAAAAAGATATGTAGCTTGTCTTTTTATTGGTCTCAAAAAAATTTTTTTAATGTTGTCAATCGCAACCGCAACCGCATCATTAATTTCTATGCAAAAGAACATCATATTTGTGGTGTTTAGAGGAGTAACTGTAAATTTGCTGTGAAGATGTTTTTCCAGTCGATTGCAAAATGTTGAAAACAATGACGGCTAATCTGATACACTTTATTTAGAATAGTATTTTTAAAGAAGGTCCAGCTCTGATTTAACCTATCTTTTTATAGATTTTGAAAAACTTTTTTTTTGCCAAAGCATTTTGGGGTTTTTCACTCAAATTATTTTGAAAAAAAAGTCTTGAAAATTATCCACTCTTGAGGAGACAAAAATTCATCTTAACGAGAAGTATTTGAATCAATTAGCTGGCTTCATCCTAATTGGGAGTGATTTAACGCTAAAACAACTCAACGCCAACGCTAGACGTTTATGGAATACTGGAACTACTAATATTTATTACAAATTGGCCAATTTGGTATTCTTCAAACTTGCATAGCTCCACTGAAAAAAAAGGTTCAATGAAATAACAAAAAAAATCCAGAAAAAACCTATGTAAAAATTTAGCGTCTCAAGTTTGCGCAGACCACGTGCAAGCCTAAAAATAAATTCAATTAGTCATAAATTTTGTTCTTTTTACTGCCATAAATGTCGGCTGCGTGAAGCAACTCTTCGCTGTGCTGAAAAACAAAAATTATCCAGTTTTTTCTAGTACACTGATAGAAATAAAAGTTTCTCGTTTTTTGATCTCAAATTTTGCCAACATTTTTGAGAATTGTAAAATAATTTCTGCTAACTGCAAGTTTGAGTGCAAAATTTGCATGTTCAAGCCTTTTTTGAAAGTCAAGATAAAATAATACAGTTTTATGGCCCACAATCTTATCCTAAAATTTAGTCTGCATAGATATCAAGGCTTTTTTCTCAAGTATCAGTTGATGCTAAATTTAACAATCAGTAATTCATTTCGGCTTTAATTTACTTTACGTGAGCCAATTTGACTGACAAGTCCAAATTTATCTTCAAAGAGGGGCCATGAAAAAGTAATTTGTCATTGAAATAAGGTGGGGATTTAACCACTTTGCCATTTTTTCTTTTTGTCCCATATCTTGCGTTTAGCTTCAATTAATTTTTCTTGGTTTTGATTATTTTCTGTCAAATGACTGAAAGTTTTCAGCACGCAAGTGTTTGCAACAAAAAATTACTGGGCTGAGATTCTTTTTAAAATTAGATCTTATTAAATTTCATTTTTTTTGTAAATCAAGTCGCAAACTTCAATGAGTTTCTGTTGTAATAAGCTGAAAAAAGTACTGATGTAGACCACACCGATAGAAAATTGCCATTGTAATCAAGAGACAAGCTCTCTATATCAAAGAACAAGAAGAAAAACAAAAAGCAAACGAAATGTTGCAATCTAAATCTGTCTCTAGATTTTAGTTATTCATTTTCAATATTTATCGAACCAAAAAAAACTATAATTTCAATAGGTCGAAAAACCTTATTTTAATTTCTGCTTTTTTGTTGTTGTTGCGTTTTTTGAAGAAATGCTGAGTATTTTAGCTTGAGTTTTTTCCTTCGGTCGAATTTCAGCGATCGAATAATAGTTTCACCAGTTTTTTATACTCCATTGACGAAATCTACTCCCTGAGTTCATCTTTGATTAAATCTTGTAAATTTTTGGGGTTTGAAAGTTGCCAAATTAGCTATGCTTTGAATTCGAGACTTTATTTATGTTGCTTTGACTGTACAAAATATACTTGTGCGTGGCGAACCATCGTAAGCTGCTCAATTGTTCAAAATGACGCAACCTAATTGGTCTATCAACTTCTTACTGCTCGAAATCTTACAATTTATGTTTAATATTGTCCGAAATTTATGAGTCTGCAATACTTTTTTGTCATTAACTATTCATTGCCAAATAAGGGGCAGTGTGAGAGTTCAGAGCTTTGAGCTTTGACCTGATATAAGAGCAGTTTTGTTGTAAAGTTTGGTTCTATAAATGTTCAATGATCAATTTAACTTTCTGGAAATCAAAAAAAATAAGTCGGCTTAGATTTTGTCTCTTTGTTAAACTATGAAAAACAAATAGGACTTATAGAGTCAAAACAAAAAAAAATGATTTGCATTAGTTTGATGATAATTATGTGCTGGGGTGATTCCTTTTGAATCGTTTTGCTTAAACTGTCTGAAAGATTTTGACGCCTTGAGCTCAAAATTAAAAAGAAATTTTATCAGCGAATTATTTTTGTAAAACTATAATGCTTAGCAGATTAACATTTTTCCAACATGGGACGCTTACTTCGCGCGAAACTTTGAATTTTGTCTTACATTTAGTGCAAGCAGTTGAACAAGCATCAGTTTTCTGTCAATTCTTCAGGAAATTGGAACAATGAACCTTCTTTAAGAGTAATGAACGTAGTGAAGACTCTTTTAAAGGTCTTGCTGATTTTTTGTTTTTTTTTTCAGGAAAAAATCTTAACATATTGATGCACCTAGGTATAATGCGCTTGCTGAATTCAATTAAAATTCATTTGGTGAAAGTGACGTAAACAGCAATCTCGAAATACGAACGTGGAAATGGCGCCAAAAAATATGAACGATTTCTAGTTTCGAGGGTGTAATTTATTTTCAAGATTTTCCAGCGGAATAAAAAGTTTACCTACTGGTCCAATTTTCTCAAGTTCGGTTCATTTTATCAAAAACTTGCCAATCATAAATTGTTCTAGAAATTCAAAAGCTTAATGGGCATATATTTTTTCTTTGCAATTCAAAAGTTGAGATGTTTTCAACAAAATCAGTGTTTTTGAATATTTACTTGCGTTCATTACTCTCTTCCAATAATCGATTGGCTGAGTTTTTTTATTTGAATACAGGTTTCGAATCTCAAAAAATGAACATACATTTTTCCAAATAATTCATTTAAAAATTTTAGTTTTTTTAAGTTTACATAAAATTTTAAATTAGGGGGCAGCCAGGGGGCAGTTCGGCTCTGCTCTTATGTCTGCCTTTGCTCTTATGTTATTGCTGTCTTTTTTTGCTTTGCTTATTGCAAAACAATAACTGAAGTTTTAAAAAAATTACCAAAGAGTTTTTGGAACCAATTGGCTTCAATTATTTATACTCTTACTACTTTTGATCAATGTCGCTTTTAATGTTCCAGTTTAAAATTTTTTAAAGGTTTATAATAACAGATTAAAAATATACAACAAGGCAAAGCTGCGTTTTCGAAACACAAGCCAACAAGTGCCACAATTTAGCGCTTCAAAAGGTTCAACAAGGAACAAAAAATGAGTTTTGCAAAATAAAAGACCCCGATCGCGAGTTAATCAAAAGTAATCGGACATCCATGTTTTCCAGTTGGCTACACTACAGACTTGTGTAAGTGACACTTAAAAAAACCAAAGACAAGAGGCAAAAGAATTTTTAAATTTTACAATAACAAAAGTTTTACATGCAATAATTTGGAATGTAATCAGCTAAAGGCAACCAAACTAAAATTGTTTGTAACAAATTTAAAAGTATAAAATTTAAATTGTGTTTTATTTATGTACTTATAACATTTCGCAAAATATTATAAAGGCAAATTTTAATTATAACAAGACTGCTCGTATCAGGGCGAAGCCCTGAATGTTCCGACTGCCTTTTGAGGTTTATGGAGCAGCAGTAATAACATAAAAAAATTAAATGAAATAATATAAAATGAAAATTTTTTTTTCTAAAATTTTAAAATTTTTTTGAAAATCATCCCCCCACACGCCATATAAAGTATAAAAAGATAGATTTCGTTCCTTGTAACAAATCAATTATGGCAAATAAGCTTCGTTCAACCAATTTGGAACGATTTAAAAGACGGATTAAATCTCCGCTTACGCGTTAATAGCGCGAATTATGTCGCGCGCTAATTGTCCCAAATTGGTCAGAATGGCCAAAATGGCAATCTTTAAACCCTCATAACTTTACAAAAAATGATCACAGGTGAAATATCTTTTCAAATTTAAGCTCAGGACAACAATAGCTTTCGAATGATATAAAAAAAATTCCGTCAAAAATGGCTAGTTAAAAAGTCAAAATTTGTCTGAAGAAAAAAAAAACCCACCCCGAGCACAAATATTCCGTTACTTTCGTATCGAAAGTTGGAACAATAATGTAATGTGAAACATATAGTTCTTTTTCAGTTCATTTGATAAATTAAGAAAACATCGACTGTGTTAACATATTATTACTGAAATATCAAAGCAAATGGAAAAAGTTTATTAGTTCGCAGAGCGTAGTGTGATAGTTCGATGCAACTTGTGATGCTTTAAGAAAGACCAAAATGTAGCATAGTCTTATTAGCAAAAGTGAAACAAAATTAGCGCTTCTATTAGCGACTTAGCTTGAAAAAAAATTGCATCGAACTATCACACTAAGCTTTTCATGCGTAATTACAACTAAAAAACTCTTTTCATTTCTTTTATTTACATGAAAAAAAATAAAAACTGGTTTATCGAGGCAGTCAGTTTTTCAAGTTTTTATCTAAAAACTCTCCAATTAATTATTTAGTTTTGATTGAGTCATTATAATTAGTGGTAATAGGACAAAATCTATTGTACTTCGAATCGGGTATTTAAGGGCATTAAGAAAAACAAAAAGAATTAACTGAATTTTTCATTAAACAAAGGCAGTCCAATTTATCATATTAAAAAATCAACGCATTATATTTCAATTGTTTTTTTTTTAAATGAATATTAAATAATACAAACAAACTTATTATTATTTGTACAATTTTAACACGTCATCAAAAATTTAGAGAGAACATTAACTTCAAACCGTTTTGCTAGAAGTCTTGATTTGAATTTAAACAACTGCAATTTTATTGCAATGAACTTCATAGAAGCGCAATTTATGTGGTAATTTGGTGCATTTTTTTTACCTCAGACAAATTTAGCTCTGATTGAGCATGAAAACTCTGCTTTCGAACACTTTAACTGGCATTGGTTCCAAAAATAGTTTATTGTTTCGCTTTATCACGTGACCTCTCTGTCTCTTGTGGTGTGTCCGTTGTCCCTAGGGATGGGGGGAGTGGGAAGGGAATGAGAGAGAGGAGGGGTCATTTTCCGAGTATTTTGGTGGCGCGCTTGTTGGCATCGGACACTCGCTGCTGGTTGGAGTTGGCCTTGTCTTTGATTCTGTCAAGCTGTCGGTTCTGATTGTCAATCTCGCTACCCATGTCCAGTGCCATGTGTTTCAGATTGGTCACTATGCCCGCCACCTGCTCCATGTTTTCCTCCATAACATCTTCCCGCTCATCATCCACCACTCTGCAATATGATAAACACGCAATCGATACGAACTCTGACCTTTGACCTCTCAATTTGAAACAAAGTTTTGTGCAGACAAAAACTGCAGTAGCAAAACGAACAGAAGCAATGCAGAAAATGTATCCATATTACAAAGACTTGTTGAAAGCAATAAATTTGGTAATTGGATATGAAACGTTTTTTATTTTTTTTTGTTTTTTTTATATACCTTGAATGGAAAATCATTGTAAGTTTTAGCTTGTTTCACAACCTGTTGTCGCATCATTTCGCAACCCAAAATTTGTTTTACAACAAACTAAATAAAAAACTACGTAAGTAATTGTGCAATTGTTTTTCTACTTCTCAAAAATTGGTGTTAAGACTCGCCTGCCGATATATTTGCCACTCATCATGCAGCCCCCCGTGGAGCTGAGAGGCACCCCGCCCGGCTGGGACCCCACCACCGGCCCGTCCTGACTCTTCTTGCTCCAGATCCGCTTGTCCTGCTCCTCCTGATGACTGGTCACTCTTAAACACACTCTCTCTTCCCTCGCATTGTCCAAAAATAGCAAAGGTCAATTGTCCAAAAATAGCAAAGAATAGCTTTTTGGCCTGTTTTTTAAAAATTTTGCCGACGGCGCAAATCATTTGGCCAAAAAGCCAAAACAGAGTCTTTTGATTGATTTGGGAGAGCTCGAAAAATAAATTTGGTCGACCTAAATAAAAAATAAAAAAAAAGTTGACAAAAATTTTTGTGAAAATCATACCACCCCCTCTTCCCCTCGAGAACATCCCAGATCCGTCCCTGGATACAAGCAACCGTTTTGGACAGTTTAAAATGCGTTGATTGGTTGATAATTTTCGCGCCTTCAGACCAGCGCGCATACTAGTAGCCCCTTACTTGTCATCAAGAACTAGCAATACAGCGAATAGACTGCACAGAGCCAAACAAAATGAGTCATAATTTAACGAGCTGAATTGGTATATACAGCTAGACGACATACCCTGTTTTATTAAACTGACGGGTTTACAAGTTGTTGGCACACCATTAAAGGTCTTGCCTGTTATAGGGCTCGAAATTGCCAAATCGCCCCATTGAGCTTTATTTCATCCAATCAGATCTGAGATTTGTGATGCCATTTTCAAAATAACAAAAGCACCAAATTTGGGCCGTATAGCAAAAAAGATCCACACCAATACTTAAACATCTCACAGGGCGGACTTTTTTCGTGGAGTTTTGCCTGTACTTTTTGTTCCGACCAATGAAAAAGGAAAAATAAATCATGAACCACAAATAATCATCATAACTGATGGAGTGATATATCAAATTAAAGTCTTTTCAGCGGTAATTCGAACAAATTTATCACAGTGTTGAGAGAACGCGTTTAAAACTTCTGAATTTCTTTCAATTTCCAGCAAGTGAACGTAATAAAAAACTTAACTTTTATTTACGCTTTTAGAATAAGAAAATTTAATTTTATTACAAAAATATAGTTTTGGAAGTTTTTATAGCGCTTCAATGTTGGCAACAAAAAAAAATTTCAAAAAATTTTTAAATAATTAGCAAAACATCAAAAAATTTTTCATTTTACGATTTTTTGTTTGTCAATCTTTTCGTAAGACAAAATTTGTCTCTTGTGACTGATTCACTAACTTTTGATGAGTTCTCTAATTGCAACACGCACTAAAAACGACACTACTTTGAAGAAAAAAAACTCTTTGTAGTTTTTTAATGCATGAGGTCAGAACATTCTTTGCTACTTGCACAGCAACGGCTATCCTTGTTATATTTTCGCTTTGGTCGAGTTTGATTTTCAAAGTGTAAAACACGACAACCTAATGGTAAAACAAAAAAGGTCGTTAAAAATAGGTTTTTTATAATTAGTTTGATTATACGCAAAACCCAAGTTGATATAGCTGAATTACCTAGAATATGTATCGACATTATTGGTCGACCAAAGTCCACCTTTTGACCATGTTAAATATGTCGACCAAACATGTTGGTCGACCAAGATCAATTCATAAATCGCACGGGTCTATACACGAATTCGACCAGGGTCAAGCAAAGTTGTCCAGAATCAAGTACAGTTGACCAAAGTCGACCAGAATCAAGTACAGTTGACCAAAGTCGACCAGAATCAAGTACAGTTGACCAAAGTCGAGCAACTTCAAGGATATCTTGAAGCCGAATTACATCAGATTTGCCAATCGAATTACGTCGCGAATTGATGTCGGCTTGCATTTTTACGAAAGTTTCTCAGCTCTTGTTGAAAAAAATCATCAGAATCTAATGTTTTGAGTGTGTTTCAGAATTACTCTTATTGCCCAGGTAAGGATGAAAAAAGCCCTCTTCTTGAAAAAACGTTTAGACTAGCCCCTTGCCTACAGAATATTTAAGTACCCAAAAAAGTTACAGGTTCTGTTTTAGCTATCAACTAAATTTATAAAGCATCACCTGAAAAAATTATTTAAAAATCAAGGACTTTTTAAATATTTTTTAAATATCTTCGGAAAGTCTGAACTTATAAAGTCAGATTTTGAGAGTTTTTTTAGCCTTTTATTCAAATAAACTCGTTATTTGCATAACCATGTGCATCATGTACTTTACTATAGATCTATTTCATTAGCTTGAAAAAGCAATGGTCGGATTTTCTGTGTTCAGATTAACCTTCCTTGGCAGTTTAATATGTTTCCATTTCACCTTTCGGAAGTTCAATTTTTCATTGTACGATCATAAAAAAAATCTTCTGTCTCTTGCATAAAACTAACAAGTATTTCAGTGTGTACATTTTAAAAGAAAAAAGGAACCATATAATGAGAAACGTTGAACAAAATACTATTCGGCAAGCAGTAATTAAACATTATCTATGCACTTCGCAAACAAAAATAAACAGCACGATTATCGCTAAATTGCATTACAAAAACGGAAAATGGTCTTCCCGGGCTGAGCTCCCAGCTATAATTATTGATCAAATATTTCTAAATCAGTCTCAGTAAAGTGTTCACGGATTTTTCAGTCCTAATTCAATGCTTAATTAATTAGTGATTCTTTATCAAAAAGCTTTAAAAAACTATCAATAATCCAAAAATGAAAAATGCTAATTTTTGTAGCGGTAAATTAGCGATAATTCATCGATAAAAATTGCTGTTGTGACGTTGAACATCAATAAAACGTCAATGGCGATCACAGTTTTTTAACGCTTAATTCCTGTGGAAACACCACCCGAGTTTAAAAAAACAAAGATAGCTTGTTTCTGTGCAAGCTGAACAATCTGTGCAAATTTCTTTGACCACGCCTAATGTTAGAATGTACTTCAAAATTAAAGTACAGAAAATGGAAGGAAACGAAAAAAAAATGAAGAAAAAAAACACATTTGATTAACTTATAAGCTATAAAAAATAGATAATAACAGCTACTGAAACGTAAAAAAAAACTTAGATATATTGGAATTATAAAATCTGTGTATCAGTTCTCCTGGAGATGCTGAAAAGACGGAGAGGAAAAACCAGGACGGTTGTTTTCGTCACTAAAACATTTTGATTTTTTTGCCGCCAAAATACAACTGAAAGTCTTTTTAAGTGTTTAATCCAGCGCCATTTATCTTTTCCACGCTTTCGATCAAAATTCAAAAAAAAATTGAATTGCTGGAACAAAAATGTATATTTTCTTTCGTCCAGCACATTTTGTGTTTTCTCTAGAGTATTAGAGCTCCCTCATAGTGTTTTTGAGTGAGTTGTAGTGCCTTTAAATAAGAATGAATATTTAATTGTTTTCGAATATAACGCCCCCCAAACACGTGCCCCCGTAGCCGTTCAGTAGCCGACAAAATTTAGTAGAGATACAAAGATTTATTGGTCAGCACGAGTTATCATAACTTGTTTTAATTTCAACTGTCGTACAATTGAACGACTGATCAGAAAACAAAATTTCTACCGGAAATATCTGAGAAAAAATCCGAAGTAACATTGTAGTTGTCTCTCAAATTGTGCAAAATTCTACTCAAATCTGATTCAATCAATTATAATAAAAACTCGATAAAAACAGTGTCAAATTTATCTAGAAATCTAAATATTTTACACGTAACAGTTTACGTACAGATAGTTTTTTGTTACTTACACTCCACTTTTTTTGTCTTTGGAGACACTGTCGCTTGAGGCGTGTCTCTTCTCCTGGAGAAATAAATATTTCAAAAAACTTATAGAAAATGTTAACTGACTCACTGCAATGTTCATAGATTATAATTTTACTTAGAAGTTTTAGAACTTCAATTACATGTGGCTCAAACCAAGAGCAAGATTTTTCATTTCGTCTTTTAGTTCCTACTTCTCAGAATTGTCCACCAAAAAGATATTCGCTGAAAAACACCTGCTGACGTTGAACAATTTTCTAATCGATTGCGTTCTTTATGTTGTGGGATAAATTTAACAACTTTCAGATACTTTGAATAATAGGTTTAGCCACAATTTTATTGAATTTATCACTAAGTTTTGATGGAATATACTGAGTTTTTTTTCTCAAAAGAAAACTCCAGGTTCCATTGAAATTTCACATTTTTTGTTTCATTTTTCTACGATTCATCATATACTTCGTGAACGTGAAAATCAAAAAAATTGTATTTGAGACTGTTTTTTTTTTGAAAAATCACAATTTCGCTTAAAATTTTTGAAAATTTTGGACCAGTTGACACGAAAGCATCGCTTAGTTTTTCAGCGGTTAGTGTATTCTGCCTAGGTTCTTATCCGAACTAAGACTAGGTTCTTATCCGAAATACGTTATAGTATCATCTCACACTGTTTTTGGCGATCTTCAATGTTTTTAGTTCCTTTTTTATTACTTTTATAGTCATATTAGATAAATTTGCCATATTAGAATTTTGGGTTCAAAAAAGTATAATTCTTATGAGACAAGAAATTTCTGTGTCCAAAAACTGCTTTGAAGTACTTTTTTAGTTAATTAGCTCATTAGCCTCAGAGTCAATTCAACAATTTAAAAAAAAATTAAAAATTTCCAAGAAAATTGTAAGATAGTGGAAGACTTAAACCTACTATTATGTTTCTGACTGAACTTTTTACCTAACTTAGATTTATTTTGGGCCCGAGGACTACAATTGGTTTTTTCTTTAAGGTCACATATAGTTCGAGACAATCGCCACAGTTTGTTTGGATCTACAAGAGTTTTAGACCGGGAAAAATTGTACCCAAACCGCCAGTAATCAAAAGTATAAACTTTGAGAGTAAAAACGTAAACACCCGGGTTTGAAGTTGTGGTTTCATTACTATTGCAACCGCATTTTAGTCAAAATTGGGTGTTTCTTGAATTTTTTTTTTGGATTTTATAGCCAAAACTTCATCCGAATTCGGCGGGACAAAAATAAATTATACATTCGCAAATGGCGCGACCGAAAAACAGTCAGCGCAACAAACGACCGAAGAAAAATATAACTACTAGTTCAGTAAAACATTGTTAAACCAACAAAACATAAGCCGAAACTAATTAATTATAATACAGCTGCTTCTAAGTGAAAATGACTAGTCAGGGCTAGTAAAACTACAATCACAATTGTAATTCAATTGTAACTTCATTTCTTGTGTTTTTGCTTCTTTGCCCTTTTTTTGAAATTTTTTATACTGCAATGAACTATATTGCGGCGAATTTTCAGACTAATGCGGCTAATTTTCAGACAGTTTTCAGACAGTATGCAGGATCCAGGTTCTCGATTCATGTTTCGACAACTTCTCGACCAAAAATCGTTATGTTTCGACTTTCTCGACCCAACAAAACAAAGGTTCGACTTAGTTCGACCCAGTTCAGATGTGTTTCGATTGTCCCGACCAAATTTCGATATGCTTCGATTTTCTTGATTGCCTTGGCCGGCATTTCAAAAAGTTTGATTGTTTACCCGCTTGGATATGTTTTGACTTTCTCGACCAAAAATGTGTATGTTTCGACTGTCTCGACTGACAAAAAATTTTCAAAATTGATTGATCCATCTCAGATTTGTTGCAAGCGGCATCACTAACAAGGTGATGTGTGAGGGTTATCTTAGCTCTCGAGTTCACAAAAATGTGAGGTTAAGTTTGAGTTCAGGTTGTTATCAAGTATTTGGGCAAAATGGCAAAATGGCAAATGTTTTGGTCCGCCTCAAGGAAATCTACCCAAGCTCAAACGATTGGTCACTTTGTTCGACTGTGCTTGACCTATGTGCATTACAATGCGTTACAAGATCAATGCATTACAAGAAGTCTTTGAAAAATTAAGCTGAAAATGTTACTTAAAAAAGGACGAAAAAAATATATCTGCAAAAACTCTAATGCTTTTTCTCGGATGAGGCGCATAAACAGCCTTAGCAGGAATTGAGAATCAATTACCGAGAAGCAAACAAGACGAAAAAATCTAGGTCAACCCTCGTTAAGTCGAAAACGAAACTGTAGACATAAAAATATCAATGAGCTATCAAACTTTTTATTTCAAATTTTTACGACCCATCCCTCCTGAAACAGGCAAAAGTGTTCCAAAAAAACCGCCCGTAAGACTACGCAACATAAGTTGGCTAAGCCGTTATAACATAAACCGAACCCGCTTAACCGAAAATAAAATAAAATTACTTGGAGAGTTAAAAAAATTAAATATACTATGAATTTTTAGTGGCGAAATTAACATATGCGCGATATTGAGAATCTGAAATTAGGTCGCGGAACGGTCATCAAACGTCAAATCCCCATCCCTCTCTTCTCCCCCTCCCCGACAGAAATTACTAGCACAAAAAGATACAATCGATAGAGCGAAGCGATGATACTGACTTGTCCCATGGAAGTGTGAACAAGCCGCAGCACTTGTTCAGGTCAGTCAGCGCACTCTCCGCCTCCTTCATGTCTGCGTGAAGAGTGTCCAGCCCCTCCTCTATGTTGTCCAACTGCTCTACACACAAACCACAAAAACAGTTAAAGGTACAAAGCAAAGTATGATAGTTGGTTCCCTTAATTCTAGAAAGGTCCTTAAGAAAAAAAGGTCCCTCGGTTTCAAAGAAAAAAAAGTCCCTAGAAAGGCCCCTCAAAAAAAAGTTCCCTAGAAAGATTACTCAAAAAAAGGACCCTAGAAAAATCTTTCGGTTTCAAATTCTTTGAATATATGGTTCGCATTTGTTTACTTGAGTTTTTGAAATTTGCACAAAAATTGTGGGACCCATCTTTATTCATACTTGATTTTTCCTGGGACCCAACTATCAAACTTGAACCCAATTAACAACCACTTGCTTACCTCATAGCAACACATGTTACGTAACAGTCGAAGTAATTAGATAATAGATTTTTCTATTCGAAATATTGTACCGGATGTGATTAACATGCAAAAAACTTGCCTCCTTGATCATCGAGGTTGACAAGTGTGTTGATGGCGGCGCCTTTGCTCTGAAAAAAAAGAGAACTTTGATGGAAACTTTTTCTCTGTCTTATTCATTGTGCGACCAGGAGTTTCATTGTTTGACGGTAAAATGGATTTTAGCTTGTATGATTAAGTGTACAATAATGAAGTTGGCAAAAATAAAGTAATCAACCAAAAAACATTGTCTATTAAACGTTTCGGCAAGGATCCCGAAACGTGTGGTGAAGTGTATTTGAATAGCATTAGTAGCATCTCAAAACGATCAAGTTCTGAACTCTTTTGAGGCCGTATCTTAATAATGAGTGGAAAAATATGGAACGCTTCACGATTTTGCGTGTCATCCTTGCGCAGGGGCCATGCTAATCTTCTCTGTATCGTTCCAATTTTAGTATATGTGCTGCCGAAGCTAGCACGACTGACAACACTCCGAACTCCATTTGGTCGGAGTCGTGATGATTCGATCTGAAACAGTTTCTTGGTGGTCACAGGAACTTGAATGTTTCCGGTAGATTGTCTCTTGTATTTGGGCATTGTTTATGGGAAAATTTACATTTTATTGCAAAAAGGTCCCAAAAATGTTTTTTCGGATGAAGCCAGGTCTTCTTAAAGTGATGGTATACAACCATTTGGTGACACTAGGCTACGTTATAGAGGCTCAGTTCCGAAATTGGTGTTGTATGAGTTGGTTTAATCCGATTTAATATGGTGTTATGTTTATGCAATATGCAAGAGTATGGCACAGTGCTAGACACTGGACTCTATAGATTTAAAAACACTTTCGGACATACCATATTGCAATCTACAGAGTGGAATCAAAGTGGCTCTATAATGTAGTCCAACAAACCAATGAGTTACCATAACGACATGCAAACCATCGTACAAAAATCTAAAATTTGAAAAATTTACTGGAGTTAAAGGAGAAAAAAGGTAACTTGGTCTCGGTGGTTTGAGCCCCTCCGATAATTTTCATTGACATTCTCATAAGACTACGTGGCAAATTTGGCTGCTTCAGATCGAATTCTCACGAATTCGATCAAATCGAGTTCGGAGTGTTGTCAGTCGTGCTAGCTTCGGCAGCACATATACTAAAATTGGAACGATACAGAGAAGATTAGCATGGCCCCTGCGCAAGGATGACACGCAAAATCGTGAAGCGTTCCATATTTTTTCACTCACGGTTGCCTCACGCGAGTTGGCTTATCTTTCGTATTGTGATGAAAATCAACAGCAACTAGATATTTCAGAACCCGGCTCTTTTTCGCACACCCCCCCTCTCCCCCACATTTCAATTTTTTTAAAAAATTTTCTCACTTGTTTTACATGTTATTATGGCTGAATGCGTGATGTTGGTAAGAAGTACAAATGTGTTCACAACAGTTATATTGTTCACCAAGCAAAATTTTATTGTATTATGAAATATATGAAATATTATGTAAAAATAGTTTGTTCGAATCTGAAATTGCGAAATGTGGGGGAGAGACGACCGGAACCCTTGCCAAAATTTTGATGGGACATATTTTTTAGGGTTATAAATAGTGATTAAAGCTTCTTGTAAAAAGGGAATAATGACTCACCTCTTCGCAGAGTGCCACCATCCGTTTGGTGCTCTCCATCGACTAAAACACACCAATCACATGCAAATCTTCTCATTGCTGAATCTGAATGACGCGAACCAACTTTGATAGAAGTTTTACAATTGCATACATAAATTCAATCGATGTCACTCGATTAATTCAATTCAATTTTTCTGAAACAAGTTCTCGTTTTTTAAACCACACAAAGAAACATTGACAAAAATTGAGAAAAAAAATTGAAACACAGCTATACCTGTGAAATGAAACCGTTTTGTACGTGAGTCCAGTGCACTCCCGCCAAAAAAATTTCATTGAATATGTCTTTACAAAAACTACTAACGATTCATATGTTCACCCCGCCCCCCCCCCCTCAAATTTTTTTTTTTCGCGCAGAAAGGTTTAGATAAAAACAAAACTACTCGTAAAGGAGAGCGAGGCCTTGAATATTCCCATTGATCTTTAAGGTTTAAAAAAAAAAATTTTCATTTTTTTTCAATGCCCCCAGCACGTAAAGTACAACCTTATAATAAAACTGAATGCTTTGCCTCAATATTCAATTTTCGTGCGTCAATTATCTCAAATTGGCCAAATTAGCAATTTTACAACCCATAAATTTACGAAAAATTATCACTGTAGAAGTTTTTTTTACATCTGAGCTCCATTGAAAGTTTTTTACATTCAAATTGAACTAATGAATAAAAACCACAAAACAAGCATTAGTATTCCGCTTTTTATTCGAAAGTCGGAGCTTACAAGATATGAACAGAGAACCTGACCTGATACACAACTTTGTCCGTTTCGCTCATATCTGCCGGGTAGACCGCTTGTCCATTCTCGTCAAAAGTCACTTGGGGCTCCAGCTTCGTGTTTTTCGCCTTCTTCTTAGACTTGGGCTTCGCCTGCTGCTCATTCGTCTCATTCTGCTCATCCGTTTGAGACATCTCTTATTGACCTTTGACCTCACTTCAGCTGTGCTGTTTTGTAGTAATTTATTGTATTGTAGATTTAAAAAACAAGAGGTTGTAATCTATATTTAATTCTTGTTTTGATAGTTCTATTTGCTCCGGTAGTTGAAAAGTTTTTCTTGAACCGTTGAAAAATGAAGCCTGATTAGGTTTTGAATCGATACCTTCAACGAGTAACGTTGTTTTTAGACGCTCGTTTCTCTCAAATTAATTTCTGCAAAGGATTTCTGGGTTGATCTATCATTGTAAGATCTATCATCACAAAGATATAAGACCTCACCGGTATTGTAATAATATCGAAGATAAAAAAATAGTATGAAAAAGAGTAGCTATTAAACAATATCCAGGAAAGTTGTTTTTATAACCTTCGGTGTGAAAAAAGTAAGCCTCGAATTTTAGCACAAAGTATTTTAATTCAATGTCAAAATAATTTTCCTGGTCAAATGAGGGAAATTTTTCAAGTAAAATCAGATCAAAACTGGAAGTTCAAGTGGAGATATCTGGGAAAACCCTGTCGAGATAATTCTGTTATCCCTCTCTTATTTAGAAATTAGGAGTAATAAGCTCTGGGGAATAGTGTGAATAGGCGGGCGAAGATGATCTTCAGATTTGGAAGCAGCTATAACAAAAAGTATAAATCAGTTTTTTATTAATTTATCCAGCGATACAACACCAATAATATATTGCTTCCCTGGTCTATAAACAGCGAACACACGATAATATATTAGGAAGAAATCTTTGATGCTGGGAACAGTAAATTTATGTTACCTGTGTTTTTTCTCTTCAAGTCACTGATGGGAAAGAGAGGTGGACTTAATCGGCTTCAGTTTCATTTTAAAAGTTGTGGCGTCACAAAACCACTTTTTATCCATTTATGCAATATTGCTCATATATATTTTAGCTTCATTAAATTTGTATGAAACTTTTAGGTAGTCTGCAAATCTTAGGAAATGAGACAACAATTTTTTTAAATAGTATTCGAAAATGAAACAAAAATCAGTGGATTAGTTATCTTATCAGCGCCATATTTGTACCGAAAAAAAAATTAATTTCCCGCTAAGCATTGATTGATATGTGATAAATATAAGTTTGAAAAGCCGTTTAACGTTTTCATACTGAATAACCGAACCTGATAGCCCGAAAAAAAAAGATAAAGAGCGCGCGCATACAATTTAAAAGATACAAGGCTGATATGAAAAGAAAACTACTTCAAATTCGTTATCGTTTTTTATCAGAATGCGATTTTATCTCGACACATTGCGCTTCGGTGAAAATGTTATATGTGTGATTATTCCGTACAACTCACAAAAAAAGGACTCCGACCCCAAATAGCACCCTAAATCCGCCCCCAATTGGTTATAAAAATGCTTCTGGTTATCATAAGCCAGAGTTGCAAGGGAGGAAAAACATGTCAACGAACTCTTTTGTCTGAAGGTTGAACAATGCACAAAATGAAAAGAAAAATACTGATATCAGATGTAATAAGTTTAAAAATAAATGGGGTAAACTATAAAATCAAACCAGGGCAATAAAATTTGCATTGGCAAAGACTGTTTCGCATGGGCACAATTGAAAAGAAAGATGAAAGGAGATTAGTTTGGTTGTGGAAGGCGAATTCCGTTTTTAGAAATATATGAAATGAGCAATCAATTGACAATTTATTAAAAAGTGATTCGTGGTCTCACCTCTTAGAAGCGGCCTGGAAATTAAAAAGTAATAACCATAATATTATTGAACTTCAAACTTCACCATCAAAAAGTCTGTTCTGAGCAGACAGTTCAATCGGCAGAATTTGAAGAAAAAATCAAATCAAGTGCTTTGTTCCTATTGAATACGCCTATCATTTAATCACTGTTAGAAGAAAAACGACGAAACTTGGCAGAGGATAATCGTGGTAAAAGGATCAATAATTTTCTCAAGCTTCTTCCATGAATTTTTTGCTTCCATTTTTCGGTTCTAATTTTAACATTTTTTTTGAAAAATTAAGAAAGACTTAAACAATAGAAACTAATTTAACAACAAAAAATTGCTGTTATACATAATTTTGAAGACATTAAGAATTTTTCTTTCACACAAGTCTGCTAAATAACATATCTTCCTGTTGCATAGTGGTACTACTCACTTACTATCGAATTGAGGAAACCACTGCTGGAAATTATTTCACCAGACAGCAAGACATCGGGGCTACTTCTAGCCCACCAGTGACCTGAGAACACCAACTCAACCGTAACACTGAACAATGCCACTTGGCGAAATGTTTTGGCAAAACCGACCGCTACAAATGATTTGAGGGGTCTCTTTAACTATATCCCCCCTCGGTTAACGAATATCCCCCTATAAAGAAATAAATCAACAGTTAAGCATATCAGAATTTTATGCCTAGTAACGAATATCCCCTTTTTGCAAAAGGGGGATTATAGTTAACGAGATCCGACGTGAGTTCAGAAAACTTTCTTCCACTATCTGCTATTTGTCCTGTGAATCAAAGTTCAACTTAATTTCAACCTTTACAAAATTCTGGCAATTCAAGATCCGATAAAACATTACGGCTAAATCATCGACACGAAACGGTTTGAATGCCAAGACGAAGCCCTGAATGTTCCGACTGCGCTTTGAGGCGTATAAAAAAGTTTTTTGCTTGAAAAATTGACCAATTAAATTTAGAAAAAATTTTCTTCATTTTTTTATGTACTCTCCATTTGCAAATCTAATTAACAATTTAAATTTAAAAGCAAAGAATTTGCGTCAATTTAATTTGGAATTCTTTAATCCGCGGCTTGCGCGTGTTAAAACAACAAAAAATATTGCGCGTTAATTATCCCAAATTTGCTAAATTAGCAATTTTTGAGCTCCCATTTTTTACAATTAAATTTGCAATTGACTTTTTGAATTTGAGCTCCAGACGACAAATTCTTTCAGATGGAATAAAAAAGTGTATTTAAAATGAGTAGTTAAAAGTCGAAAATTGACTGAATGCATGAAAACCACCCTAAGCAATAGTATTTCGCTTTTTATTCGAAATTTGGAACAATATACAATAGCCTTAGAAAATGAGTAATGTTGAAGTTATTCATTGAAAGTTTGGTAGCTGTTCCAACGTCTCTGTTGTTTTCATTAGATCTAATCCAAAAGTTATGATGACAAATATTCAAGCATGTTTAAATTTGCTAGCTTAGACACAATTCTGAAAGTCCTGAAAGCAGTTTAGATTATGTATTGCAACAACTCTTATTTGTTTGCATTATGGATAATGCAATACCTGATTTATGGAAGCAATTTGTTAATCATTTCTTTTTCTAATAGTGATAGCTTGAGCAAATAAAAAAATAATTTGTCATCAGTACAACCCGCATTGACAGACTTGAGATTGAAATCGATTCAACTTTTTTTGCATACAATTTATCGATTTGCGGTAGCTTATTTACAGAAGTTTATCAATTTAGAGTAAATTAAAAAAGTTTTTACAGCGGAAAAATCATTTTTTTTGTCTGAAAATTTGATTCAAATGGATATTCAAAAAGTCGTGAAATCTTTAACTTAACTAATTTATTTGTGTCGAAGCTTGAATTGAGCCAATTATCGTATTCAAGAAAATTTTTCAGCAGAGCTACAGAGATCAAGAGACAATCGAGGAGATTTTTTCGCAAACTAAGAAGTTTGAGGAAGTCCCTTTTGAGTTTACCAAGGCTAAGGGTTCCCGCGGTAATGAAAATTAAGATAAGGCAAAGTGTCTTCCAAGGTTATTTTCTTTATTAATGTTCTAGACCCGTTTTCACCAAGTGTTTGAAATATAATTGAACAACACATTTTAGATCATATAATTTTTGGTGCAGAATAATTATATATCGGTTATACTCATAATTTTTTTCTGGTCAAACATCAAAACAAAAACTCAGTTCTATAGCAGACGTTATAGCCTTCTTTCCATTTTTCTAATTTCTTTGATAGTGGAGAAAACCGGAACACAATCTGTATCAACTGAAAAAACAAAAAATTGGCTGAATATAGAGTTAAATTGTTTTCTTAGTTAATAAAGGTCGTATGAAAGTGAAGCCAAAAAAGAAACAAGTTTGAAACAAGCTATATTTTTTACTCAACTAAATTGAGATTATATTAATTGAAGTTGATTTAGTTGGCCTTTGCTATATTATCAATTGCAATCAACTTCTTGTCAGTATGTGAACGCTTCAAAATTAAATTACCATAAAAACTCCTGACCTGGAGTTTTTATTCGTCTTTACATTTTAGAGTACTTTCGTGCCGTGAATATCTCTGACTTTTGTTTTGTGTGAATATAACAACCACCAAACTAGTATGTCAAACAAGCTCTGGAACAAATTTTGGTTACAGCCGAGTGGTGCTGTTGTAAAAATGCTGCAACTTAAAGAGCTCATACTAGCAATCAGAGACGCAGGTTTCAGTCTTTTGTCAATGCATGACTAATTTAGTTATAAACTGATGTTTTCGTTGCTTTGTAACAGAAATTGTTTTATTAGTCGTGCTAAATCAGTGGCAACAAAATGATGCTAATTGCTGAATTGTCAACTCAGTTGCTCTTATTATTTTCTGTAGACAGATGCAAAGGGGAGAATTTCATCACTTGCGATGCAACGCAAGCGCAGCATTGCAGGCTAGCAAATAGAAAATGAGACAGAAGTTACAAAATCGAAACAATTTTTTTTAAATCGAACAGAAAAAATTAATTCAGAAAATAGTCAAAAATTCTTGTTTTGAACAGGTTTTTGATATTTAATAAGCGGCTACTAACGTGACGACAACAACAACTAGCTAGACCCCCATAGAGCCGAAAACAAAAAAACACTTTGGGAAATTGTTGTCATAAAAAACTTTGAGCAATGAAAAAACCTTGCATTACATACTAACATTCTTTTTCATAACAAAAAAATTCATACTTTTTGTCTTTGAAGCGACAAAAGTTAGCGTAACTCAGCCAATAAACCTTAGGCCGAAACCGTTTAGGCCGAATAAAACTTTTAAGCGAAAAAAAAAGAGAAACAAGAAAAGACAACGGTACGGCTGTTGATTTTACAAGTTAGAGGATGAAACCAAATTCTCATGCTGAAAGCATGCTGAAAGCACAATGAAATTTTCCGATGTGGTAACTAAGCCGAAAAAAACATAATCAGGTAACTGAAGATCCGACTATTCGACTTTTCTCGAAAAAAAATTCTGCTTCTTATATTTTGAAAAAAAACAAGGTCCGGTTGGGAATTGAACCGTGTTATCTCAGGGCGGAAAAAAGGAAAGGAGTCCCGAAGTTGCTAAGGTTCACGAATAAAAACAATTTCAAAATTTTTTTACAAATGTATGAAAAGTTGTTCACGGAAAAAGTAGTTCCAGATTACAAGAAATTTTCTCTCGCAAATTTTAGTATACAAACTATTAAATAATTTATTTTTTGACGAATTTCACAGTTTGACAGTGTCTAATTTGTCAACTCTATGAGAAGCAATCAAAATTGAAAAAAAGACGACAAAAATGATTTTTTGGTAACTAATTCTATGTGCCCTGAAAACATGTTTTTGTAGAAAAAAAAGAAGTTCAATTAGCAGACAAACATTTCTAGCTATTGTAATTAAACTGTCTCACTGAAGAAAACAGCCTGATTGGCACCGCAAGCTCAAGTATAAAATTACAGTTAACTTGATTGCTATTTTTAAAAATGTAATTTCACTTTTTTGATTTTATTTGCCTAAAAACTCATCTGATATTTTCGATTCATACCTTCTGAAATGATTAAAAAACTTATGAAAAATACTACAAATTCCTAAAAAAATTATTCAGAAAAGAAGGAATTAGTGATTCAGTGATAATTTTATTCGGAAAATGAATTTTTTTTTTCAAAAAATATTACGGGCTACTAAAATTTTGAAAACAATATTTATTATCTTGATATTATTGAAAAAGTCTTTCATGAGTCTCTATGTTTTGTGGCCCATAAACTTGACGAGTCTTTCTGAATATTCGGAGCTAAAGGCTTCAGATACGAAAAACTCTTTGGTCAGCCCAATATTCAAAGAAAAGGATAGCTGCTGCTATACAAATTGCATTGAACGTTCTTTGTTGCGAATTTGATGACAAAAACTTTCAAAAGAAGGATTGAAATTTATTAACAAGTCATCAATACGATGCCAAAATAGAAAAAACTTTGAAAAAAAAACCATTTTTAATCCAAATCCAACTGTACGCGTTTTTCCTTAAATTAGAGTTCGAATAGCAAACACATTCAGACCAATTTTTCACGATACCGAGAAAGTTTTTTCGGTTTGAGTTGGTTTGGAACTTGAATTCCACGCAATCGCTTTATGACCGGAAATCAATGAGACAAATAGGGATGTTTTAACGAAACTAGCGATGAGTTTTCTTTAATATTTTATTGCTCATTCGTAGATTATGGTGAATCGTAGATTTTCTTATCGTTGATGCTTCGCTTAAAAGACAAAACAATCACTGATAATTAAAACGTGCTTCCATTGAAGCTTAACCCAAACATCGAGTGGCAATGTTTGCCGTGCAAAATTACAATGCTTTGAAGATGTCAGAGTCTTGAAAATGTCAATGATAATCAATCCTTGTTAGCTTTCTGACTTTCCACAAAATTCGCCCACTAGATCTAATAAATTTTCTTTTTTGTTTTGTAACACCAAAACAAAACTGACCGTTTCAGATCAAAATGCTAAGTTTTTTCTGCTGTTTTTTAAAGTACTGCAGTAAGTTTCAAAATATTCAGGAAATTTACGGCGTTTTTGTTGTTAAACCTTCCCTCCACGCCCAATAACAAGATCAATTGATACAGTTTTCAATTCAGTTATCTCTTCTAAATTCAAGTGAATTGGAACAATTAATTTACCTCAATTCAGTCTTGAACAATTTAATTAGTCACTGATGCTACGCGCGCGTTAAGAGAAAACTTGAGAACAGCGCGCATTGATTATTACCAATTTTCAAACCCCCATAACTTCATAAAAAATGGTCTCAGGTAAGAAGTTTTTTCAGATTGAATTCAAATAAATAGTATTTAAAAGTCGTCTGCGTTGGTCCAAATGAAAAATTGCGGAGAAAAAAGCAGAAATAGTCAATCACTTCATTCGAAAATTGGAACAAGGAAAAACATGGTAATTAGCTAATTTTTCTAAAAAGTTGCGTTGTTCGATTTAACTAACTAAATGTAAATTGAGTAAATGATATAAAGTGAAATCAGTCAGACTGGAATGTTTTTTTTTCAGATTTTTTGGTTTGGTTATTTTTTCTAAGAAAAAAATCGAATTATCAAAATAACTAGCCAGTTTTGCCTTTTATTATCTAAAAATTTCAACTTTCCGAGCTCAAAGGTAAGACGACGTTAAGCGTGCCATTTCTTAAAAAAAGTTTGAAAAGTGGCAATTTGGCCGTTTTGGGGCAATTAACGCGAAATATAGTTCCTGCTACTATCTCCTTCAGGACCATTCAATCCGGCTCAATAACCGTTTCAACTTCATTTGAGGCAAGCATCTTGGTATTGCATATTTGTTTCTAATTAGACAATTCGATTGCAGGAAAAATTATTTCAAAATTATACATCAAACCTTAAATTTTAGACACTACTAATTGTGACAGTATGAAAATGTGACAGTTTGAAAAAAAAATGCTCGTATAGCAAGAAAAAGCCCTGCATGTTCCGATTGCACTTTAAAGCCAAGTGAAATGTTTTTTTTTGTACAATAACTTAAGAATTAACAGAAAAGATAACAAAAAAGAAAGCTGTTTTGTTTGACTTTCGAAGAAAATAATCAAAAATTTTCTTGGGATGGTTTTTTGTTTCTCCAGACGAACTCCGACCATAGAATTAGCAAATTTTGGCAATTTTTTTAAACCTGATCTAAAAGAAAACACTATTGGCTTGAGCTCGAATTTTAAATTTTGACAGATGATTTTTTTCGTAAAACTAAGGGGTTTAAAGACTGCCATTAGGGCCATATGAGATAATTAACGCGCAATATAACGTGCTCCATAACGCGTAAGGGGAGATTTAATCCATCGTAGAAGTTGTTCGAAGTTAGTTCAAGTGGGTTAATTGTCATAGTTGCTAATGTACTAGGAGCAAAATCTACCTACTTGTGTTCTATATGGTGTGTGGGGAGCTGATCTTTGAAACAATGTTTGAAAAAAAACTGATATTTGAAAAAAAAATTCTGTTTTTTTCATTTTGTGAAAAATTCATCAATTGTTTTGAAGCAAAAATTGCTTCAGCGACCTTAGAAGGCAGTCGGAACGCTCAAAGCTTCGCCTGATAAGAGCAGTTTGTTTGTTTTTTGTTTTTCATTTTAGTTTCAAGTGAATGACACGCTAAAGTGAATTAACTACAAAGGTTGTTTTTATTGTCTGTCCTACTCATAATGCCAAACTGATTGCCTCAAATCAATTTAGAACACATTATTCCATCCCCATTTACTTTGCGTATTTGTTGCATAGCACAAACGCTTCCAACTATAAATATCCGAAGTTCATATTACAACAAAAAACTCAGAACAATACAAAACGTAAATCAGGACAATACCTTGGTTTGTTAAACGCTCTTTAAAACAAATTTTAAAAAATCGGAAAAAAACAACGTTTTTTAGTCTTTTAAATCTATCACCCACACGCAAAATTAAAATACAAAGGGATGTATTAAGCGTCTTGCATTCTAATAATACAAACAAATGACTTGGCTCAATTCAATTTGGAACGCATTCGTATGACCCCATGCCCCCATTAGGTTTGCGGTTTGTTCCATAACAAAGGCAACCAACGATAAATTTTTAAAGTTCATGTAACAACAGTAAAACTTGAGACAGCACAAGACTCCTAGTATATCTGTGCAAAGCCCTGAATATTTGACTGCTTTTTGGTGCCAATTTAAAAAAAAAACTTGAGGAAACATTCAAATAATATCAAAATCATTTTTTTTTAATTTTTAATCTATCCCCTCACTCGCTAACTACAAAAGAGTTGCATATAGCGTCCTGCATCCTACTAAAACGACCGAATTACTAGCCTCATTTCAATTTGGAGCACATTAATCCGCCAATTACGGATGTGTTAAGAACGCAGTATATCGCGCGTTAATTATCCCAAATTGGCCAAATCAGCAATTTTCAAACCCTTATCATTTTACAAAAAATGCTCACAGGAAGGAAACTTTTTTTAAGCTTCAAATAAAAATATTTTTCGGGTGGTGCAAAAAATTACTGTCAAGTTTGCTTGCTTAAAAGCCGAAAAATCTTCAAAAGTCGGAATTATAAGCGTGAAACTTTGAGTCATTTAAAAACAATGCGACCAAACAGCTTGCTTCAAATCAATTTGAAACAATTTTGTAGTTGGATAATTCGCCACGCACAATTAAATGTTTTTACGCTTTGAACATCAAGAATAAGGTCTTAACAGGACTGCTCGCATCCGGGGCAAAGCTCTGAATGTTCAGTCTGCCTTTTAAGGTCTATGGAGCAGTAAAAACATGAAAAAATTGAATGTAATAATAAATAAATTTAAAAAAATTTAGTAGACTTTTCGTTAAAAAATCACCCCACACGCCATATTAAGTACAAATTGATAGATTTTGCTCCTGTTAACAAATCAATTATGGCATATAAGCTTCCTTGAACCAGTTTGGAGCGATTTCTAAGACGAATTAAATCTACGCTTACGCGTTAATAGCGCGAAATACATCGCGCGTTAATGTCCCAAATTGGCCAAAATGACCAAAATGGCAGTCTTTAAACCCCCATAATTTTTTAGAAATAATCACAGGTGAAATATTTTTCACATTTAAGCTCAGGACAAGAATATCTTTCAAATGATTTGAAAAAAAAATTCCGTCAAAAATGGCTAGTTAAAAAGTCGACATTTGTCTGAAGAAAAAAAACCACCCCGAGCACAAATATTTCGTTACTTTTGTTACGAAAGTCGGAACAATTAAGTCCAGAGCACGGGCGAAAAGATTATTTTCAAACCCTCAATTGGAATTGAAATATCATTTTAAGTTTAACTCGTGCAGTCGATGTTTTCGATGGAGAGTTAAAAAAATTTTGTTCAGACTTTTGAAGAAAACGGGGATCTTTACTACTGTCTGAAACTATTAATTCTATCGACGAAACTTGACTTGATAAAGAACCACCCCAAGCAGAAATATTGCAAAATTTCTTCGAAAGTCGGAACAAAATCATTTTTCCGGTTGATTATCATACAAGATCTCAACAGGAGAACTGCCGAAATCGTCAAAAAAAGCTAGCCTAGTTTTTCTTCTGACTTTTTAGTACTTTAGGCAGCCATTTAGTCTTAACTAACATTCTCACCACTTCAAACTATGAACTAACATAAGATCTCAAATATTGATGTGAACGCAGTATATTAACTTACCAATTTAATTTGCTTCACCTCAAAGTAATTAGGGCCGGGCCAACACCATTAATAAATTACAAAAACAGAGATCAAACAACAAATGTTGCAAATACAATTATAATTTCCTGAAGGAATACTGACAAAAAGATGAAGATCTATCACGTGGGAGTTTACAAATTGGGAAACAAATGTTTTTAATATTGAATGTTGTTCACTTAAATTTCAAGTATTGTATACTTGAAAATGAAACAAAGGCGGAAACAATCTGTAGCAGTTTTTGGAGTAGGTCGGGATGATTTTTTCCGTAAAACCATTTTCAGGTGTCGCTGAAGCTTAGGAAAATGTTTCGCATATTTTGTATACCAGAAAGGACGTTTTTTTTTGAGGTGCTATTATAGATGCTCTTGAAAAAAATTGGCTCAGAACACAAATGAGTGTTCAGCTTGGCAACGCGGTTACGTCACAGAGTAAACAGTGCTAAATTGAGTTCATCAAAAATTCATGATAAAAATGGCTTCATTGTCCGGCGCGGTAAAATGATTCGACCAATGCTGAATATCTTTTTTGTAAGAATACTTAATTTAGAAAACTTAAATTAAGAATTCTTACTTATGTAAGTAAACTTAAATTAGATGAAGAAAAAAATATATGATTTGGCCAAAGAAAACATAAAAATCGAAAAAAATGTTACCCAAACTTATATATTTCACATTTAATTAGTAAAATAACAGTTTTTATTATCTTCATTGCGTTTCACAAAAGCAGATAACATTATAATAGTTGAGAAAGTTTGCATTTGATGCAAATTATGTCTTTCATGTTTAAGAAAAGTTTTTGGGCTGAGAGTCAAAATAAAAAAAAAAACATTTAAAGAAAAATAATTTTATCAAGACTGATTCTAGGCAAAATTTTCTACGTCAAAGTTTTTCACCGTTCCTGCAAAAATGTTAAACTCAAATATTTAAATTCAAATCTTCTCATGACGGAGATTCCAATTTTATAAAAACTGCCAATGAAACTGGCTCTCTTTCAGGCTCACAAGTTTTGTTATTGCAATGGTTGTCTTTCAATAACGGCGGAACAAAAACAATAGTTTCTGAGTTTGGTATTTTCTTGGTCAATTCTAAACTGCTGTTGGTATTGTTTTTAGTCCGTTTTGTTTCCTCGCAGCTTCTTTCGTCAGTGCAATCAGATTTTAATCTCGGCCTTAACCAGAATCTTTTTAGATACCCTGTCTTCTGAACTAAGATTGAACTGATGATTCAGATTTAATATGGTTTCATCCGGTTATCCCACCAGTTGAGGAATTTATTGTTCCTACAACTTTTGAAGATAGTGACGGAATAATTGTGCTCGGGTTAATTTTTTTCTCCAGACAAGCTCCGACTTTTCAGTTAGAAACTTTTGACAGAATCTTTGTATACCAATCGAAAAAAAAGTATTATCCTGAGCTCGAATTTTAAAAAATATATATATCACCTGTGATCATTTTTCGAAAAGTTATGGGGGTTTAAAGATTGGCATTTTGTGAAATTTCGAACATTGAACGCGCAATTTGTTTTTGGGCTACTATTGCGTAAGTGGAGATTGAATCCATCTTAGTAATCGTTCCCATGTGGACTCAAGCATGCTTTTTGGTAAATTTAATACTTTGCTACATGCATATAAGACTGCTCGTAAATCACGGCAAAACCCTGAATGTTCCGACTGCCCCCGATCCATATCGATTAGTTTTTGCTTAAATAAAATCATAAAAAAACTATCAATTTTGGTTAATATCAAAGATCAAGTGTGAAAAATCAAATTACAAAATTAATACGACCATTTAGTTTAGCTAGCATAAATGTTTTCGAATCAATATATCACTTTGTACTTAACATAGCAATTGGGGATGATTTTAAAAAGCCCCAAAAAATTAAAGTTTCCTTTTTTGAAAATTTCAATTATTCAATTTAAACTACTCCAATGAAATTTAAATGCAGTCCGATTATTCACGGCTTTGTCCTGATACGAGCAGTCTTGTTGCTAATGCTTTTTTTTGGTTACAAAACGAGGACTTTTTTGATTATTGTGTCATGCCGACTCGAGGAATGACTTTAAAAAGACAATTAACTGTAAATTGGACTTTTTGGGATAAGTAACGCCCAAAAAATTGCGTTCTTATAACACGCTCAAGTGGTGTTTTGAGCGCTCCAAAATGAAATGGGCAAATTCAAATGAGGCAAGTCATTTTGCGGTATTATTAAGATACAATAATTCCTTTTGTAGCTTACATTAGCGTGTGGGGGTGATAAATTAGAAAAAAAAGGTTAAAAATTTGTTCTCTGTTTTTTGTCAGTTTTCATTCACTTTTTTTAAATTGACGTGAAAGTGTAATAGGAACATTCAGGGCTTCGCCCGAATATACGAGCAGTCTTTTGTTGTCCTAAATTTTGTTGTTGCAATATGAACTTTATATATTTATAGCTGATTGCGTTTGCTATGCGACAAAGCCGCAAGTTTGAAAAAAAAATGAAAAAATTGAGTGGAAAAAATTCTATAATTTGAGCAATTTTGACCAGTTTTAGAAGCATTTTTTATCGTTTTGAGGGGTTTTCAGGCTTTTTCGTAGTAAGTTAAAACTCCGTTCAAGTCGGTAAATATTGAACCGGTTTTGAACGTCATTGTGACCAAACTGGAATCGAACCCATTGAACGTCTGGGAAATCTAACCTCGTTTGATGCACAGCGCATCGACTTTGCGCTGTGTTCTCTACGGGGAGGGTTCTCATGCTTGAAGGACCGAATGCTTGAAAAATTTCAACCAATCAAAATCGCTAAGCGTTTCTATTGGCTAAATGCCTTTCTCACAAAATCGAATTCACTATTAACAGAAAATGTATTAAATCAGTCGAAAATAATCAAAAATATTGCAAAATGCGGGTTACATCTGCAATACTTTTCGGATAATCATCAAGATTAGTGAGGTCAAAATCATAAGAATTTTTCGGTCTTGAAAACTCATCTGCTTATTATCTAATCGGTCAGTTTTAACTTTAATGGCTGGATTTATTTTCTTACTTTGAGATTTTCGCGATTTATTTTGAGATTTTGAATACTCAATTCTTATTGGCTGAAAGTAAGCTAAAATTAGTTTCTAGCATTCGGTCCCTCAAGCATGAGGGACGCCATCGTTCTCTACTGTTCAGCTTCCAATAAATTTTTGCAATGCTCTGAACAAAAGTTTTAAACAGCATCGTACAGTTTTTGTTGATTTCGTTGCAAACCTGAGAAAAGCTTGGTCAAATTTGATATGATCGTCACATCCAAAAAGCTTTTTCTCACAATTGAAAATGATTTTTTTTCGCGTCGATATTTTGTTGCGCGTTTTTTAAAAATGTTTTTGGAAAACAGTGGTTGAGCAAATTGTGTACGGCTTCAGTCTGATTCCCAGCTATGGGGTGTAAACTGAAATTTTTTGTGTTCGACGTAACTTCTTTTGATAAATATTCGATTCTTTTATTCTTTCACCTTTCTCCAAAAAATGGTATAATTAATTTGCATCCCTATATAACATTTAGTGACAACCATGACTGTCTCGTCCATACTATTTAAACTATTTGCATATTTAAAAAAAAAATAAAAATTACTTTTTTCTTCAAAAAATTGCTTGCGCTGCTGAAAACTTTGCTGAAAATGGTCTCGCAAAAACTTCCACGGAGCTCGAAATATTCGAAATGGAAGAGCTAAAAAAAAGTCGGTATCCCACTCTTTAACCCCACAATATTTAACCACTTACGTTTTAACCCCATACTTTATAATCCCGTTACAAAATAACCCCACAACAATTTAGCCCCATTTTAACACCACTAATTGGCTTCAAATTAAGTCCTTTCAATATCCTACCGCCATTCAAACCAAAAATTCGATCCGCCAAAACCTCAGCGGCACCTTTGTTTTAAAGTATATGTCATATTCAAGACCTTTCAGCCGTGACTCATGCTTCAAGAAGTATCAATCGCTTATTCTTCTCCTTCATCAAATATATTTTTAGATATGATTATGACTTCAAATGGTTCAGTTCATTCAGAAACAGTTCACGTGTCGTGGAAAAGTTTCACAGAGTAATTTCTTTACCCGATTTTAAACCAACAATATGGCTTCCAGGAATTTGTCAAAGGCTCCCCTAAGTAAACTAAATACGCTTTTTCACTACAATGATCGATTATGCGACACATTTTCATTTTTGTTTCCAGAAACAATTGAAAACAGTTGGATTTCTTAATTTCAACTATGTTCACCAGTAAAGTAGAGAGCTTGAGAGAGCGCTTTAATCTCCATCTTCATCTGATCAAAAACAATTTCTCTTCTGAAAGCTCTCGTGATGTAAACTTCGTAAAACCCGATCGAACATTTCGAAATTTGGTCGTCTCAACATCAGTCTTATTATTTTTTATAGCTGTGCTGATTATACTTTCTATTTTTGCGCAGAAAAGAGATCCCTCCTTCAGTGATAAGGGCTTATCTATAAATAGTTCTTATCCGACGTTTCTAAACAGCGCAGGAAGTCAAATGATTGAAAGGCTTCCAATTTCAAAACTGAATACAGACGAAACATGCGCTGAAGCGGGACTGAACAACGTGAACACACTCCTGCTAATTCTCGGAATTCCGAAAAGCGGCTTGGATCAAATCAGTTCACTTTTGACAAGAAACACAAACATACTCGTCGCTCGTGAAATGGGTCTATTGGGCCAGCTTCTGATGACTGACCTCACGCAAAGTTCAAAGGTCAATGACCTTTTCTGTGAAGTTTGGAGTGAAGAAGGCAGGTCCAAATCAGCCCAAGGCGAGGGTGCTTTCCAGATTCTTGCGGATGAAAGTGGTTGGCAAGGGGTCCAGTTGGTTGCCAATTCCGATGACAGGTTCCAAAAGATGATAATCGCGCCGTAAGTTTCTTGTCAGGTAAAAATGAATATTATCAACCTTTTGTCAAAGTGGTAAGAAACTGTGATGCAGATTTTAAAAAGACAATTAAAAACTGATTTATCCAGAAAAAGATGATCTGAAGATCTGTTGTCAGACACAAATTTACCGAATACAGAAAAGAACTTCTGTTTGCGTGATTTGGATTTTTTGGATTTTGATTTGCAAATCCGAAAAAAAAAATTAAATTTTTTTTTAATCGAAGAACGTCTCTGCTAAGTGGTTCATTGTTTTAAGTTAACCTCGGCTAACCAGGTTTATATGTAAAACGACAACACAGTTTTTTTTTCTGCAAAAAACGAAACTGGCCTCAGATAATACATAGGTATCCGAAGAACATTCGCATGGAGAAATTACAAGTTCAGTTAATTGTGGGATTTTGACAGGTGTCTCAGAACAAAAAAGACACTAAATTTTGCCTCATTACTATGGAATATCAACAAACGATTTACTTGCAGAATTTGCGATCAATCACACAAAATATCCCATATTTAGACTTAGAGCAGAAAATGTAGCACGACCT